AACAGCTGATCAGGTGTATGACCAAAAATGGTATATGCCTCCAAGTGGTGCACAACGAGGCTCTGTATTAATTTTGGATGGTGATCCACTCACACCTATATACCCATCTACCGGTTAGTTAACTGCAGTCTTATTTTAGTTAATTTACAATTTTTATTTTTTTTCAAGATTACATGTACCGATTGAAGGAAGAAAATGTAAAATATTTACCTAAAATTCCTGCTCAACCTATTGGTTATGCTGAAGCTCAAGTTATTTTACAGTAAGAAAGCTTAGTTTTCAATTATTTGGGAACGATAGAAAATGTCGTATTTAGATATCTCGAAGGTAATGAAGTGCCAGTACAATGGCGTGGAGCTCTTCCAAATGTGACATATCGTTATGGAGGAGAACTTCATAATGTATCGTAAGATGAATCAATTCGAAGATCAATTATGAGCCAGTATTTCTTTTCAATAGAACGATCGAAGTTAAAACATACAATAGACTTCAAAGAAAAGATACATATGATGTGATTGGAATAATGAAAGGAGACATCGAGCCAGGTATGTCGAACGTTGTTCAATTACCACACGAAATTCTTTGTCTTCTTAGACCGATATATTGTAATGGGTAACCATCGGTAAGATAGGACTTACTCAAATGTTTGTTAAGTAGTGTTTTCATAGTGGGGAATAACATCCTATGCAATCGTTGCTTGTTTTAACATTTCAGATTCAAATATTAGCTATAGAAGCGAGCAATGAAGTTCTACTTCGATTATTGTTTTTTTTGTATTTCACATCTACAATTAAAATACTTTTATTATCTTTCAGAGATGCTTGGAGTTTAGGTGCGATTGATCCAACAAGTGGAACAGCTACTATGCTAGAAATAACACGAGTACTTGGTGAAATGTACAAAAATGGTAAATCTTCATGTTTGTGTCCAAATGATTATGAAATTGGCATATATTTATAATAGGATTTCGACCAAGGCGTAGCTTAATGTTTTGTTCATGGGGAGCAGAAGAATATGGACTTATTGGATCAATGGAATATGTTCAGGTATTTTTTTTTAAATATTAAAGATTATCAAACAATTATAATTTTATGTTATTTAAGGAATATGTTAAAGTACTGGGTGCACGAATTGTCTCTTATTTGAATGTAGATAGTGCAGTACAAGGTACCGCATATGATAAAACTTGAAATAATTACTTTAATTGTGTTCGAAAAAGGAAACCATACGATTCTAGTCAAAACCGCTCCAATGTTGTTTGATATTATTGTCGAAGCATCCAAAATGGTGAGCATAATCACATATCTTCTTTCTTCTTCTTATTGTAAGTATAGGTTCCAAGTGCCTACGATGCTCCTGGACAAACTGTCTATGATAAATGGATGCGTGTTAATCGAAATAATATAACTGATGAACCAAAGTAACACGTAAATTTAACTCAAGCTCTTATCATCATATTTATGTAGATTAGCATACGGTCTTGGTTCAGGTAGTGACTTCTTTAGTTTTGATCAGTTGGTTGGCTCATCAAATATGGATGCAAGATATACCTACAATTCAGCTGAGCAAAGAAATATAGCTTCACATCCACTTTATCACACATCTTATGAAGTCTTTTCAATGATGAAAAAATTTGTTGATCCGGATTTTACAGTTAGTGTCTTCTGCCATATATTTCATTGTATATTTACTTAATTCTTAATTAGGCTCATAGAACAATGGGACAATTTATAGGTGTTCTAGTATTACTTCTGTCTGAGACACCTGTTTTACAATTTAATGTAACACGATATACAACGGCACTTATGCAAGCTATGAACAATCTTAAACCAAATGATCCTACTATTCTCGGTATAAAACTAATTGTTTTTAGCATTCTTATGAAATAATTGAAACTCTTTTTGAGATCCTCTTCGAAATGCCATCAATGATTTTGGTAAGACTGCTGAAGATTTTGTTGCACGATCGAAATTAATGGATGGAGAAAAGTAAAGTTATTAGTATTGACTTTGAAAAAATGTAAAAATTTTATTTTTCTAGTCCATACGAAATTCGATTTTACAATGATCAATTGTTACAACTTGAACGTTCATTTCTAAATCCATTAGGTCAAGGTGGTGATCATACTGATTTTAAGTAGGAATTGAATTTTTTCTTTCAATGATCTATTTTAATATTTCTATTTAAGACATATTGTCTTTGCACCAGCTAAAGATAATCAATATGCAGCAAGTGGTTTTCCTACTATCAGTGATGCTATTTTTAATAATAATCAAACAGAAATCGAATATCAAGTTGCTATAGCGACTTATTTTGTACGTGGTGCTTTATCTATATTAAAAGATTTTAATAATTTTTTTTCATAATTGTTCTCCTCTTCGAAAATAAATTATATAATAATTACAATCAATAATAAGTATTTTATCAAATACTGTACTTTTCGATAATTACATTTAAGAATGAGTTTATTCATACGACTCTAAAATATATTAAGTGACCTATAGTAGATGAATACTTTTGATGTTCGAATGATGTTATTAAGAAATACGTTTAAAAGAAGGAAGGTCTATTTCCGATTATTATCTTATGACCAATAATAAATATTCTGATTCCAAGGAGATATTTTCTCTTCATGATATAATTTCAATTGAGACTCTATATGAATAATGGGTGATATTCACACCCTCTGATGGTAGTTGATCTTGAATGGATTCATCGAAATTTTCTAAAATCTACAGTTTCAAAATAAAAAAATGGATCACATCAATATTTTTATCAATGTCAGATACTTCTTAAATCACATAGGTTAAACGTCGAATAAATTCAAAAATAAACAGTGAGAATAGAAGACTATTGAAGAAATATTGAGCGATAACTAAGGCGAAGCTTAAAATACTACCGACTTGAATTAGTTTAGTCTTCCAACTATAAAGGAAACATTTCGAAATAAATCATACAATACACATGCAAGGTAGGAAGATGTTAAGCTTTCAAATAGAAATATCAATCTTTTAGGGTTCAATTTTTGCTCGTGGTGGAAGACCATCGAACAATTGGATAATCACAATTTTTAGCCTCTCATACAAAGTTTTTTTCCAGATTGTCAATTGAATAGTTTAATTATTTCGCTATTCTAATAGATTTCACTATACTTAGTAAGGGAAAGCATATATTTAGTAGAAGTTCGAAACGAGATCCATCTTGTCACTATAGAACAGACTATAATAATAAATGAAAAGTTCTAAAACTTTTGACGAAAACAATGTTTCGAAGTTATAGATGTTAGATCACTGGAACATGAAAACTCTTTGTCCAAATATTGTAAAATTAAACTAGTTGTGTTGCAGATTTCATAGGATAGATGAAATATAAACAGCGAACATGCAGCCTGATAGAAGCATGGAACTGGTTATTTATTACTAAGAATTGGCTACAGTAATCATTTAAAATTGAATTTTAAAGCTGAGGGTGTGGATGTGGCTGCGAGTACAGGTGTGAGTGGATGGGAGTATGAGTGTTGGTATGAAATATGTATTCACCCGCCCTTTATAAAACTATGTTTTAACATGCTGAAATAGATCTATAGAATATTTGCAACAGTCTTGTTTGTTATTTTTTTTATTACTTTTAATAATTAATCACAAGTTAAAAATTAGAAAAAGAAAAATAATGAACAAAATAACACCAATGGAAACAAAAAGCACGATGTCCATGTAAAATAGAAAATAATGTTTTTTATCGAAATTTACTAATAAAAGCTTGTTAACGTAACCTCTGTTGAATTGAAATGTGAAACTCACATGTCCCTTGTAGATTCATTATACTAATGCAAAATACATAATGAAAAATATCTAACAGATGATCAATTGTTAACAAATGCCGTCTTTTATATTCTCAGTATTTCGGACAGAAATTTTATTTTTGTTTTTCTAACGATTCTGCTTCCTCACATCCCCTGTATATTTCATTTTCATTGATACTATTCACTAATGTCGGGTTTTTTTTAAAGTACCAACGACTATTTTTTGAGTAAGCTTTTCAACGGTTCAAGTTCTAGAGGTCGGATTTTCACCGTTAGAAAGAGCAAGGCGAGATCGTCGATCTGTATAAAATTCATTAGGTTTATGAGTCTTTTGCATGGTTGTTTGTAGTCAAATACCTTATCGGTTGTCTATTTTCATGACAATTTAACATCTAATTAGATCAAAATCATTTTGATCTAATTAGATGTTAACTTGTCATGAAAACTCATGAAAATAGACAGGCGATAAGATATTTGACTACAAACAACCATATAAAAGGCTCATAAACCTAATGAATTTTATACAGATCGACGTCCCCCCCGCCTTGCTCTTCCTAACGGTGAAAATCCGACCTCTATAACTTGAACCGTTGAAAAGCTTACTCAAAAAATAGTCGTTGATACTTTTAAAAAAATCCGACATTAGTTAGTTTTCATTTTTTATTATTATAAGTATTGAACCAAAAAACTTCGAATTAAACTTTACACTCACTATTCTCTTCGAAAACACATGTTAGACAGTATCTGTTCGACATGAACAATCAGCTTTTAGATCTATTAAACATTTCAGATTTTCTATTAAAACAATGAAACTAAACACAATATGTAAGTTTCATATTTCTGTCTCAGAAGGTTTAAGATGACAAGCTTTCTTGTTCAGATAATTTAGATTTAAATAAATCTAATGATGTTGTTGGAGAATCTCTTTGATATTGAAATAATGCATTATTAATGAACTCTTGTGTAGAATAATCTCCTATATTTAAATTATCTAGTTGAATATTAAGTGATTGAAATAATTCATGCAAAAGAATTAAATCTAAATTAACAGGTATTGTTGTTACTGTTTTTTCAATAAGATTAGTATGAATTTGAGTCGATAATAATTTCATAGATTCTATTTGTGATTTTACTAGTTGAATAGTTTTTATTAATAAATTTTGATGATATTCACTTGAATAATGATTCCACATATTATGCTAATGAATCTATAGAAAATAATTTCAGATCAATTATTCTCAATTAATTAATATTTTTACTTGTTTATCACAACCAAAATTTTTTAACAAACAATCGATAGTGTTCTTTTCGCATGCTAAGATTTTATGTTCATTAAGATGCACAACTGTATCAAATTGTGCATGACAATATTTGCATTGTGGATTTATATGATTTTGATCAAGATGTTCCTTTAATAGAAAATAATTTAACATTATAAAATAAGATAAATATAAGATTTATTCACTTGATAATTTTGTAGAATGCCAAACCAATCACAAAAGAAACAATCAATCGTTAATGATTGCATCTCGTTTTTGAAACTTTCATCAGACCTTATCTAAAATAGGAAATCAATTTTTATGCAAATGAAATAAAATTAATAGTTCACTTGATCTTGCATTGATTCTATTGAACATTCTTGACATTTAATTATCCTTCTTAAAATTATAATAAACAAAAA